GATTCTCAGAAAGAAACGCACGAAGGAGCTGCGCCGCGCACGCTGCAAGCAGTGTGAAGCAGCTGCGCCGATCAGAGCCACAAAGGCAGCCAAGTGCAAGCAGTGTGGTCACTGGAAGTCTCGAAGCCACGTGACCGGGCTCGACTCAAGAAGCCAACGAAGGGATCTGCAGAACCTGTGCCACGCGCAATGCCAAGCCGCCGGCACAGCCGCCGGCCAAGGCGTGCCAGCAATGCGGCAACGCCTTGCCCAAACATGCAACGCCCGGCACATGGTGCGACAGCTGCGCCTTCCCGCCGTGCCAGGGCGGGTGCGGACGCGCGCGCCCGCGAAAAAGTGTCTACCACGCCAAAAAGCGCCCTACTTGGGTCTGCAACAAGTGTGCCGCCAGCAAGTGCGGCAAGTGCGGTCAAGCCCTGCCAAAGACAGCCAACGCAGACTCTTGGTGTGACAGCTGCGCCTTCCCGCCATGCCAGGGCGGGTGTGGACAAGCCCGTCCACGCAAAGGAGAGTGCCGCGCCAGAGTCTGTCCCAACTGGACTTGCAACCAGTGTGCCGCAAACACGTGCAGCCAATGCGGCGGAGGCATGCCAAAGACGGCCAAAGCAGACTCTTGGTGCAACAACTGCGCCTTCCCGCCATGCCAGGGCGGGTGTGGACTTGCCCGCCCGCGAGCGGGAGAGTATCGTGCAGAGTGTGCCCCAACTGGACTTGCAACCAGTGTGCCGCAAACGCGTGCAGCCAATGCGGCGGAAGCTTGGCAAGGACGGCCAACGCAGACTCTTGGTGCAACAACTGCGCCTTCCCGCCATGCCAGGGGGGGTGTGGGCGAGCGCGCCCCCGCGGGGATGAGTACCGCGCCAAACGTTGGCCCTCCTGGGTGTGCCGTGAGTGCGCGCGCAAGCCAAGTGAGACTCCCGGCCAAAAGCGCCACAAGCAGGGCTGAGCTTCGACACAAGTCAGACAGGCCGGACCAAAGTTATGCTCAGGTTGCGCAGGGACTTGGCCGCACAAAGGAATTAAAACTCAAAAGCGAAGTTTCAAGGCAAGTGAGAAAAAAACTTCCAGCCACAGGAGCAGAGCCAGCCAGAACGTGGCTCCGGCCATGCGAGCATGCAGCTCGGCCCAAGCGTGCTGCTCGGACAAGCCTAGCTTGGAGCAAGCGTCATTATCGTTCAAGACGTGTTGGCGCGGCAGAAAGAAAAAGGCCGTGGCAAACATGTGTCACCCAAGTTGGGGCAAGGGGAAGTGCAGACCATGGGGAATTTCCGGGGGATGCAGGTGCTGCCAGGATGTTGTCCACTACGGGCGCCCCCCCCCCCCCTCAAAAAACCGCTCGGGTTTTTGACTCCGCACGGAAAGTGTTTAAAAAAAAGAAGCCTCAATTTTCCACACATTATCCAGCTGTTTTCCATGCATTTCCATCCTTTGTCCATGCTCTTACCGGCACATTTCCCTACATTTCCCCACATTTCCCCACATTTCCCTTACCGGCACGGACAGCGCCCCCTGCATGCTCCAGCAACTTTCCATGAAGTTTCCATCCATTTTCCAGACATTTGCGATCCATTTCCAGTCACCTTTCCCTTCATTTCCCCACACGTCCCTGAACGGCGTGGACAGCACCCCCTGCATCGACTGCATCATCCGAAGCAATGTCCGCCATGGATGCTCAATTGTTGCACTTGATTGCAATCCTTTTTCCATTCATTCCAGCAATGCATTTCCCAGGAACGCCCGGACAGCGGGAACGAAAAGGGAAAGGAATGCGAATAAACAATTCATGGGAAATGGCTGGATGGAATGGGCCGGAAAAAGGATGGACAAAAAGGATGCAAAATTGATGGAAATGAAGGGGCGTTGATGAAAAAAATGCGGGAACGGTTCCCGTCACGTTCTGCCCGTGCATTTTCCTGCATCTCGGTTTCTCTCCAGTGCCCTCTTCATTTTCGTGCAATTCCTTTGACTTCAGCCCCTTGTTTCGCATCGCCAGCATGCATAGCATCATCCGCATCATCCGGGATGATGCTGGCAATGCTGGGGGTGTTGTCCAGTATTATGCACCCCCCAAAAATACTCGTTTTTGGACTCGTTTTTGGATGCTGCGGGGAGATGCTACAAAAATCGCCTAAACCAATCCGCAAATCCTTCGCCCCTTATAAGGGAGGGCCCAGCATAAAACGTATGCGCATGTTCTGGTCATGGTCCGCGCATGGTCGGCGGCATGGGGCGCGCGGCCTTATACCTGAAGGTAAGCCCTAACGGGCTTTGGCCTGCGGCCCGATCACGTCCGGTGGCCGGATTTAAGGGCTGCCGCCCAGTGCCGCCGACCCCTGGATTTAGTTGTGGTTTTCGAGCAAAAGAAAACAGTGCCCTTGGTTTTGGTTTCTTTGGTTTCTTTTGGGTGCAATGTTAAATTTTCGCCCTGGTCAAATTTTGATCTTGTTTTTTGGTTTCACTGTAAACTTGAACCCCAGTAGCCGAGCCACAACCCTGCGTACTTGAGTCATGATCAGACCCCACCCCCCTGGATGATGATGACGATGACGTCGATTACAAATCGGCTGATAATCATCATGACGCACCGTCAGCATCACCAGCAGTCATCATGATAATCATGTCCACGCATCTTTTGCATCTCAAGTCACATGATAATCATTATGACGCATCCTCAGCACCACCAGCACTCATCATGATAATCATGACGACGCATTCTCTGCATCACCAATGCTATCTAACGTCCCTTCTGAAATGTATACAAGAAGTAAGAAGTAATACGAAACCACAATGACCCTCATGCTGATCATGATGAAGATGATGACTAGGATGATACCTATCATCGTAGTACCAAGGGTGCCCAAAGCCACATTTGAAATGTATAGAAGAAAGAGATGATGTGATGACAATCATGATGACGATGATGAAGGTGATGACTATGATGACAATCATCATGAAGATGATAAGATGATGACTCTTATGATAACTATCATCGTAGCATCCTCTGCATTACCAAAGCTGCGGATGACTGTCATGATAACTATCATCGTAGCATCCTCTGCATTACCAAGGGTGCCTAACGCCACAATTGAAATGTATATAGAAGAAAGATAGAAGAAAGAGATCATGATGATGATGGCAATCATGATGACAATGATGAAGGTGATGACTATGATGACAATCATCATGAAGATGATAAGGATGATGACTCTTATGATAACTATCAACTATCATCGTAGCATCCTCGGCATCACCAGTGCCGGCTTTTGAGAGATGATGATGACCATGATGATTAGTGATGATAAGGGTGAGGACTGTGATGATAACTATCATCGTAGCATCCTCTGCATTGCCAATGCTGTCTATCGTTACTTTTGAAATGCATATAAGAACAAGAAAGAGATGATGATGCCCATCAGGATGATGATGAGAAGAGTGATGATGATGATGATGACGACCATCATCATGATGATGATGAGGAAGATCCTGATGATGACTGTGATGATAACTATCATCGTAGCATCCTTTGCATCACCAGTGCTGCCTAATAAGAGATGACGATGACCGTGATGACAGTGATGATAAGGACGAGGACTGTGATGATAACTATCATCGTAGCACCCTTTGCATCACCAGTGCTCCCTAATGAGAGATGATGATGACCGTGATGATAATGATAATAAGGATGAGGACTGTGATGAAAATTATCATCGTAGCATCCTCTGCATTGCCAATGCTGTCTAACGTTACTTTTGAAACGTGATGACCATCAGGATGGTGATGAGAAGAGTGATGATGATGATGATGACGACCATCATCATGATGATGATGAGGAAGATCCTGATGATGACTGTGATGATAACTATCATCGTAGCATCCTTTGCATCACCAGTGCTCCCTAATGAGAGATGATGATGACCGTGATGATAATGATGATAAGGATGAGGACTGTGATGATAATTATCATCGTAGCATCCTCTGCATTGCCAATGCTGTCTAACGTTACTTTTGAAATGCATATAAGAACAAGAAAGAGATGATGATGACCATCAGGATGGTGATGAGAAGAGTGATGATGATGATGATGACGACCATCATCATGATGATGATGAGGAAGATCCTGATGATGACTGTGATGATAACTATCATCGTAGCATCCTTTGCATCACCAGTGCTCCCTAATGAGAGATGATGATGACCGTGATGATAATGATGATAAGGATGAGGACTGTGATGATAATTATCATCGTAGCATCCTCTGCATTGCCAATGCTGTCTAACGTTACTTTTGAAATGCATATAAGAACAAGAAAGAGATGATGATGACCACCAGGATGGTGATGAGAAGAGTGATGATGATGATGATGATGACGACCATCATCAGGACTGTGATGATAATTATCATCGTAGCATCCTCTGCATTGCCAATGCTGTCTAACGTTACTTTTGAAATGCATATAAGAACAAGAAAGAGATGATGATGACCACCAGGATGGTGATGAGAAAAAATTGGTGATGATGATCAGATGCAGCATCGCTCATGATGATCATGATGATCCTGATGATCCTGATGATCATCACTACGCATCTCCAGCATCACCAGCAGTTACCGTGATGATATCCTGATGACAATCATCACTATGCATCCCCTGCATGAGCAGCAGCTGTCATATCAATCGTGACTAAAATGCATCACTGCATTCCAAGCCAGGTTGAACGGCAAGCTTGAAACGTAGAATGCTGATGATCCGGATGCTGCGAACCCATCACCCAACATCAGTGGTGCTGATAAACATCACGAAGACAAGGACGAATACAAGCCCTTCCCATGCGCCTCCCCTTTGGAGAAAGGGGTCAGCGGATCCCAGCCCAAGCACGCCATGTCCGCAATAGTTAGATAATTACTCATATCTACCCTCATGGGTCAAATGTTTGTCTGAATCTCGGTCATGGTTGGTGCGGGCAAGAGGCCTTCTGTCAAGTTCCGCGTGAGTCGCGGTGAGGTCTCCTACCTCTTCACGACGGCCTATGGCGTCGGCAAAGCGGCCAGCGACAGGCTGGGCCTGGAACGTGGGCAGCGGCAATTTGCCCGAGTCGGCTGCGCGTCCTTGAGTGGGTTTGCCTTGGACATGACTTGGCTGTGGTTCAAACATAGGTACCCCAAATGGGTTGCCCTGGTAAGTGGAGCCATGGACCAAAACCTGCGGTCCCCCTGGTGGTTTAATTTTGACCCATACCCACTTTGGACATACCGTGGTGTTTGTCAACATTTCGGTTTGTGGATGGTGCGCGACCACGCCGTGAGATCTGTGTTCGGGAGGCCGTTTGCCACTTACAGTTGGAGCGCTGGCTAAAAGACAGAGAGAGAGAGAGAGACAGAGAGAGAAAGAGAGAGAGAGAAAGAGAGAGAGAGAGAGAGAGAGAGAAAGAAAGAAAGAAAGAAAGAGAGAGAGAGAGAGAGAGAGGGAGAGCGATAGAGAGAGAGAGAGAGATAGAGAGAGAAAGAGAGAGGGAGGGAGGGAGGGAGGGAGAGGGAGTCAGAGAGGAAAAAAACTGACCTGAGCCTTTGACCTTAAGGTGACTCTTGGGTTGGCGGCTTTAATGCGTAACAAGGGTGTCCTTCATCCCTGCCCGTTGCCCTTCGCTACAGGGTTGCTGGGTCGGTGAGCTCAACCGTGCACAACCACCCTTTGGTCAGGGAGAAAGGGTGCAAAGAGCAACCATACAAATTCCCAAGAATTGCGAGTAAACTCAATGAGATGTGTGAGTCTTTTTCCGGTGAGATGTGAGATTCCCACATCCTTTTGGAATAGTGATTTTTTTCATTTTTCCATGTAACACTACAGACCATCCATTTGTATGAGATTCCAACAACTCTTTTCGGAATACTGGTAGTGAATGTTTCAAGCTCCCAAGATGTGTCACCAACCTACCACCCCACCAACCAGCGGAGCACCGGCTTCCGCTCGGCTCGCCAGGCTCATCCGGGACCTCCAAGTGGAGCTGGGGCCCTTGGGCATCGACTGCGTGCGTGGCACTCGGGTGCTGGGTGAGGTCCCTGCCAGGTAGCCAGAACTCGGTGTGTCTTTTTGTTCCTCAAGCAATGGGGAAACAGCAAACAAAAACACAGAAGCAAACAAGCAACACCATGACATGACCCCCCAACCAGAGTGATGAATGACCCCCTACCACAAGATTTTGGTGCTGAAGCTGCTGGTAAGAGCCCTTTGTCTTGTCAAACCAACCGTTTTGGTGGTTCACCCCAGACAAACCTGCGTGAATGCAACCGATTGTGCAATTTGCCAAAAAGAAACGAAAGAGGACGGATGGATCGTGATTTTTCGGTTCCCGGAACTTCCCACGAAAATTGCCCACCGAAGTGGCACCAAATTTGGAGCTCAAGGCAGGGGGGACCGCAGCATGGCTTCTGTAGGTCGCTATGGCCCGGGCTGGTGCTGACGGAGGAGGCAGGGGTCTCCCTTTTTTTCTTCGTGGCACTCCGCTCCTAGCGGAGTTCCACCAAATCTGGTGATCCAGCAAAATGGCCCGCGCGGGTCTGAGCCACCTGTGCTGAATGTGGGTTTTGTTGCTTCCCGGCATGCACGCCTTTCCGGAAGACAACAGGTTTCAGAGCAAGCCTAATTGACCTCGCCGCAGCTCTTTGCGGAAGAAGCTTCGCGGCCCGCAAAAGGCTGGGACGCCTTCGGAGGGCTCTTGTGATCGATTCTCATCCCAGGTCCGATGATTTTGAATGTGGCATGGCCTTGGACCTAGCTTCCGCCCAGAGGAAAGCCCTGGCAGTGTAGCACAAGGAAAAGCCAAAAATGCAGGAACTGAGCAGCGAAAACACCCGAGGACTGACCAAAGGAGCCAAACACTTGAAGCCTTTCAAGATCAGATTGAAGTTCTCAACGATGAAAGGGGCGGTTTTGGCTGCGCGGCCATGCTGCCCCCCGCGCCTCCAATCGCCCGCGGGCCTTGCGTCCCCGCGCTCTGCTGGCCGCAGTGGCCGCAGGTGGCATGGCCGGGCACAGGATGGCCCCACAACATGGCCTCGGTGTTCCTGTTGGTTGCCCCTTGAACTTGCCGAAAAAGGTTGGTGCCTTAAAAACGGACGTCCCTTTTATGGGCCCTAAATAACTTGTTGGAGACGTCTCACAGTAGGGAATCGCCCCCCCAAAATGTCTGGTTTGATTTAAGTCTCCCGCAAACCCCTCAAGGAAGGCAAGCCGAATCCTTTGGGCTTGCGGGGTAGCATTGCGGTACTGTCCCTTCAATTTGCGCCGTGATCGTAGGATGTGTTGCGAAGTGATCGTAGGATATGTTGTGTAGTTTGTTGGCTCTGTTCTCTTTGAGTTCTTGCAATTCAGCCAGCTTGTTTCCGCTTGTTCAACGCCTGCTTCCCCTTCCCTGCAGTCGCCTCGGCTCATCCATCACGGATTGTCTAGTCTAAACAGAGTGCCCCTTTTTCCCACGGCCACATTGAATTTGGTTTTCCTTTTGAACGTGGAGCGTCCCGTATGACCTGCATGACCTGCATGGGCGGTTTGTTGGTCTGTTGGTCTGTTCTCAGAAAGCATTGACCAAGCATTGACTGGGTCCCTTCAAAGTGGCTGCATTTTGCTTGGGGTTCTCAGAATTCAGCTCGGTTTCCCTTTGTCCTGTTTGACCTAGGTTTTTTTGAGAGCCCTAAACCCTAAACCCTAAACCCAGGAGGCCTTACTAGAACGAACCCAGAAGTTCGCCAAGTCAATCGAGGCTGTGCCCTTGCCCTGCCGAGGCGGGGCAGAGGCGGAGGGGGTCAGGATGGATCCCCTTGCCGCAGCATGAAGGGAAACCAAAGGGGAACCGGGCACCAAAGGGATCCCTTGCTACCACCCCCCAAAAAAAAAGGAAAGAAGAAAGAAAACACACAAGAATGGCAGGATTGAGTTGGGGTCATTCCATTTTTCGGTGGGATACTGGGTCATCCATGTTGTTTGGAATGCTGATGCTTGGATTCTGACCTTGTGCCATTGGGGCTTGAGGCCCAAGCCGAAGACCGCGCTGCGCCGCGCGCGCGTCGGCGACGTCGGCGGCGTCGGCGACGTCGGCTGCGGCGCCCCTGGCGCAGTGGGCCGCGCTGGGGGCTCGGCGCTATGAGGCCCAGGCGCGCACGGAGCGGAGGATCCCGGCCTCGGGGTTGATTCTTTGGCGCCTTTTGCTTGGATAGGACTTTAACTTTGTGCCAACTAATGGGTTTTCCGAATTAAACCACTAAAAGTTAAACTTGTGGCAGGGGAGCAGAAAGCAACCGAGGATTCTTTTCTCGTCTTGCTGCTTAGGCAGGGAATGAGCTGGAATGGCCTCAAACCGAACCATACCTCGCGGTTTTCCTGGCAGGGATACGTCGGCTCACTCCCAACACCCTTGGTGGGTTTCCTGAAAACCAGCTAAGTGGGGCTGAAACTAGATGTGGGTTTTCTTTCGTTCTAGTTAGGTAGTGGTTACCCTTCGCTGAGATGGTGTCTCACCGTGTTTTGCGTCATGCGGTCGTGTTTCGGCGAACAAACCTCACGGATAGATGAGTGGAAACCGTAGAAGGAAGGTCTGATCCTCCATGGTTAAGTTTAATCTTTAAAATCAAACAAAACAAGGGTGTCATTTTTAGGGGACCCCCAAAATGGGTGGTTTTGTTTTTTGTGTCCCTTTACCACCACTGCAAAAGGGGTACTTCAACTTCAAAAACGAGGCACACACCCATCTCCAAGATCACATCGAATCGGTTCATGACTGGCCAATTTGGGCCCTTCCCCGACTTCAACCACAGGTGGCCTTTGAACGAAAGGAAGTTGTTCAAACCATGTCGGCCTGGACACAACCTTTTTTTTGGGGGGTCAAACTGAATGTTGTCTTGTTCCCACAACTTTGGACCAACAGAATGTCGAGAAGCTCATTCGGGTGTGGCTCAAAATTAAGGAGCCGGGGCCAACCCGCCGGCTTCGGTCTTTGTTTCCGTTTGCCCAGAAGCCATCTTAAAACCTCCATCTTGAGCCGCTGCCATTTTTTCATTTGCCAAGGGGCCATGGGACGTCCATCTTGAGCCGCTGCCATTGGTCAGACCCTTCGCGTTCTTTTTCGCCAACTCGGGGGCGGGGCCCCAGCCGCGAGGTGTGCCCAGAAGACCTGGCGCAAGCCCAGCAGCGCTTCCGGCGCCGGGGGGTGGCTCCTGGGCTGGTCGGCGGTTGGTTTTGGGAGCCAGGGGGTTCAGCCCCAACTTCCAGTTGCTTAAGAACTTAATTTTGTTTCACCTTGTTGGTTTTAAGAACCTGTTTTTTGTTTGACCTTGTTGGTTTTTCAGAAGGGAGTTTATCACTAAAGTAGAGAGCTGGAGACTTCTGCATTGAACTGCATCCCTGTGAGCGGGTTTGGCGAGAGAGGTATCTTAGATGATGAAGCTCCCGAACAGTAAAGGATGGCGGTTATATATTGCCCCCTATTGCTTTGATGGTTTGTACCAGAGGGGCTGCTTTTGATGGGCTTCGCGAGAACTTAAGTGATTTGCATTGGTTTGTAGTAGGACAAGCACATGACCCAATGCTGCTCGGAACAGGCTGTTGGATCAGCAGGATCAACAAGCTGTTGGATCACATGGTCTAGAATTTGGCTCGAGGGTTCTCTTTGAAAGAGATGTTCTACGATATTACGAAACTGAGTGAGGAATTCTTAAAGCTTGGGCTTGGGGGGATCTAGCCTTCCACAAGTTTTGCAAGAAACGGTTTGAGTGGGGCTTCATTTGTTTCCCCTTTTAGAACCAGATCCTTACTTGTGGGCACACCTTTGCCTCGTTTCCAGAGGCTTTTTGTGCTTCACATGTGGGTTCTTTTCAGAAAGGTCGGTCTCCGTTCTTTTCATCCTGTTGAAGCCACCAGAAACATAGGTCTTCTTGTCACGTTAGTTTGGTTAAACATAGATAATAGATGGCACTGGTTTAGATGGGTTCTATTCCATTTACCAGGGTCATCTATTTCTCCAACAGGCCGCCAGAAAACCTACGAGCTTTTTTGCCTCCTGTCACCGAAGGTCTACCTCATGCACCTGCTCCCCGTGGTATTTGAGCAGCTGCCCACCAAAAGCTCGGCCAGGCGGGTGACGCGCGTTGCTTTTCTTTTCTTTTCTTTTCTTGTTTTTTGGGGGGAGACTTTTGGGTCACGGAGACTTTTGGGTCACAAAGATATGGGTGGCTCGTTTTTCAGTTTGTCTTTTTCTTTCCGGAGTCGGCGTGGCGAAGGGTTCTTCCGTGCGGAGCCCTTGGAGCAACTTGAAGAGAGCCATTTGCACAGGGCAACTTGCACAGAGCCATTTGCGCAGAGCGAACTTGCACAGGGCTACTTGCACAGAGCCATTTGCGCAGAGAAACTTGCGCAGAGCAACTTGCACAGAGCCATTAGCATAGAGTCGAGTAGTCTGGGCACAGTCTGGGTATAGTCTGGGCATGATAGTCTGACGTCTGGGCAGTGGTGTGGGTATAGTCAGTC